ATTTCTGTGTTTGGACAAACTAATTGCCAAATTGCACACTGGAGGAAAAGGCTCAGATAGAAATGAACCGTTATCTCAGCGAGGAGGTCGTAAACGGAGAAGACGATCCACTGGCTTGGTGGAAAAGGCATGAAAAATGTTTCCCATTGATGTCACACATGGTTCGGAAATATCTGCGTATACCAGCCACAAGCAAACCTTCAGAACAGGTCTTTCAACACCACCTATTGTTAACCACCTGCGCACACTGCCAAAACCTGATAAAGTAAACATGCTTGTTTTCCTGTCAAATATGTCACAAACGGTTGCGGGAACACAACGGGCTGGAGAGCACCGGCTTGACCTGGGACACATGAAACACGTTATGAATGCGCATGTTGTGCGGTAACTTGAGGCGAACAGACACAGGGTTAACAATGGCGTCTATGGCAAAAGGGCCAATGAAGTGGGTTGACAGTTTTTTAGATTCGACCCATAGTGGCACAAAGCGAGTAGACAGCCATACCTGTTGTCCCACAGCATACGCCGGGGCTGGCGTCCGACGGTGGTCAGCGAGCGCCTTGTTCAGTTCTTTAGTGCGGAGTAGGGTGGCTCGAGTCGCACGGCGGCACCTACGGCCTGTGAGCCTGCACAGAAGGAATGGTGTGCTCACCTTCGATAGCAGGAAGCAAAGGCGGTTGGTATCCCAGGGATGCTTCAAAAGGAGACTTGCCCGTGGCAGTGGAGGTGTGGCTGTTATGCACGTATTCAATCCACGGAAGCTGTTCACTCCAGGTCAATTGGTTATGGGAGGCGACGCAGCGGAGGGCAGCCTCAAGCTCCTGGTTAGCCTGCTCAGATTGTCCATTACTCTGTAGGTGAAACCCGGAAGAGAGACTGACCTTTGCTCCCAGAGCGGAGCAGAACTCCCTCCACACTAGGAACGTAAACTGCGGCCCTCTGTCCGAGACGACATCCTCGGGGATCCCGTGGAGCCGGAACACCTGGGCGGTGAGGAGCCGAGCTGTCTCCAGGGCCGTGGGAAGTTTCGGAAGGGCGACGAAATGAGTGGCTTTGGAGAAATGGTCGACATGAGCAGATGGTATTGCGGTGTTACCTGAAGAGGGCGGTAATCCAGTGATGAAATCCAGGGAGATATGTGACCATGGGCGAGCCGGTGTGGGGAGAGGCTGAAGAAGGCCCGGGGGAGGACGATTCTGGGCGCACGTAGAACAGGCTGACACATATTCCCTGGTATCCTTTGTTATACAGGGGCACCAAAAGTAGCTTCGGAGGAAGGATACAGTGCGGAGGACCCCCGGGTGGCACGAGAAATGGGCGGTGTGAGCCCACTGGAGAACTTGAGGGTGAACAGATGTAGGAATGAAGAGGCGGCCGGGCGGGCCGGTTCCCGGGTCCAGCTCAGATTCTTGTGCCTCCTGGATGAGCGACTCGATCTCCCATAAAACTGCCCAATAACACAGGCGGACGGGAGGATGGGTCCAGGGTCCGATTCCTCCTCCGTGCTGACAAACTGCCGGGAAAGGGCATCTGGCTTCATATTCCACGACCCCGGCCTGTAGGTGATAGTGAAATCAAAGCGTGTAAAAAACAAAGCCCACCTGGCCTGCCGAGAGTTGAGGCGTCTGGCCGAACGAAGGTACTCCAGGTTCTTATGATCCGTCCACATGATGAATGGCTGCGCTGCTCCCTCCAACCAGTGCCTCCACTCCTCCAGGGCGAGCTTGATGGCCAATAGTTCCCAGTCTCTGATGTCATAATTACATTCTGCAGGAGAGAGGTGGCAAGAGTAGAAGGCACATGGGTGGAGCTTGCCATCCTCCTGCTCGGACAGGACCGCTCCCACTCCGGAGTCCGATGCATCCACCTCCACAATAAACTGCCGGGTGAGGTCCGGTTGACTGAGAATGGGCGCTGCAGAAAGCCTCTCCTTGAGCAGGGTAAAGGCATGCTGCGCAGCAGAATCCCACTGGAAAGAAACTTTGGGAGAAGTAAGTTTAGTGAGTGGGAAAGTGATTGTACTGAAATCACGAATGAATTGCCTGTAAAAGTTTGCAAATCCCAAAAAACATTGCAGCTGCCAACGATTTGGAAGGTCGGTCCTTCAGTTCCTCCTCTCGATGACATAGCCCAGAAAAACCACCGAGGTCACGTGGAACTTGCACTTCTCCCCCTTCACAAAGAGCCGGTTCTCCAGAAGGCATTTGAGGACCTCCCTCACGTGAACTTGGTGCTCCGCAAGCACCTTTGAAAGCATGTCATCCAGGTACACAAAAACGATTGACAAAGTCACAGAGCACATCATTAACCATGGCTTGGAACACTGCAGGAGCATTGGTTAGACCAACAGGCATCACGAGGTATTCAAAGTGGCTCAAGTGGGTGTTGAATGCAGTTTTCCACTCATCCCCCTCCCTGATACGCACCAGATACCTCCTGCATAGAGCCCACTCACACCTGGATGGGGGAAAAGGCACGGTCAGGATCCTGTTTCTTGACTTTTCCAGTGCCTTTAATACCATCCAGCCCTGTATGCTTCAGGAAAAACTGAACAGGATGGAGGTAGACCCCTGCCTGGTGGCTTGGATCTCCGACTACCTCACCGACAGACCACAGTACGTCAGGCTGAAGGACATCACGTCTGACACTGTGGTCAGCAGCACAGGAGCACCACAGGGAACTGTGCTGTCCCCTCTTCTCTTCACCTGTACACCTCTGACTTCTGCTACAACTCTGAAGTATGCCACATTCAGAAGTTTGCAGATGACACAGCCATCATGGGGTGTATCTGGGATGATCAGGAAGAGGAGTACAGAAGTCTGGTGAGGAACTTTGTTGCATGGAGTCACACAAACACCTCAAAGACTAAGGAACTGGTTGTGGACTTCGGGAGGTCCAGAGAAGGTCCACTGCCGGTTCAGATAGAGGGGGAGGAGTACCTCGGGCTGTGGGTGGACAATAAACTGGACTGGTCATGCAACACAGAGCACCTGTATAAAAAAGCCCAAAGCCGACTGTACTTCCTCAGGAGGTCTGCAGGAAGCTCCTGAGGATGTTTTACCAGTCAGTGGTTGCTGGAGTACTTTTCTATGCTGTGGTGTGCTGGGGGAGCAGCACAGCAAAGAAGGACTCATCCAGGCTGGAGAAACCGATCAGGAAGGCTAGCTCTGTGGTCGGCATGAAGCTGGACACTCTGGTGACAGTGGCAGAGAAAAGGACACTAAAAAACTGCTGGACATTATGAACAATGCTGGGCATCCTCTGCACACGGCCATTAACAACCAGAAGAGTCTGTTCAGTGACAGGTTGCTTCTCCCCAAGACAAGAACTAACAGACTTAAAAACTCCTTTGTCCCACACGTCATCAGACTGTTTAACTCCTCTCTGGAGGGGAGAGGGAGGGGAAACAGGAGGACAAAGGAGGGGGGAACAACTAAGCTGTAGTGCCTCTTCACTTCACTGTGCAATAACTTTTGTGCAATACTTTTGTTAATAGTCAACAGTGCAAAAGACCTCAATACTTGAAATGTGCAATTCACTTGTATTTGTATTTTTATTGCTATTTATTCTATTTATCCCCTTCGTATATTTTATTTATATATGTCTCTGTATTTATATATGTGTGTGTGTGCGTGTGTGTATATATAATATTCTGTAACTCTGTAACTTCTGTCGGTGCTGTGCTTTTGGAAACCGAATTTCCCAGAGGAACCCGCCCGAGGGATTAATAAAGTTTTATCTTATCTTATCTTATCTTATCTTATCTTATCTTATCTTATCTTATCTTATCTTAGATGGTAAGCATTGCGCAAATCCAGCTTGCTAAAAACAGTCATGCCTTGAAGCAGCTCAAAGGCAGAGGAAAGCAACGGCAAAGGATACTTGTTTTTCACAGTGATCTGGTTCAGGACCTGATAATCTATGCATGGCCGCAGAGACTTATCCTTTTTAGCCACAAAGAAAAACTTGGCCGTGACAGGTGAAGAGGAAGGGCGAATCAAGCCTGCCACGAGCAACTCCGTGATGTAGCGCTCCATGGCGTTTCACGGGCGAAAGCCGTGAGCGTCCCAGCTCCATGGGCTCCTACTCCTCTTCACTGGCCTCAGATTTATGCAGCCCACAAGCCGCTGTGGAGGCTCCGTGAAGCCCCAGAGGTTCATAACGGGAGGGTGCGTGTGAACTCCAGTGCGCGCGTACTCGATTGTCCACTCGAATACACAGGGTCATGAGAGCAACTAGGGAGGAAGGCAATTCACAAAGCATCAGTTCATTTTTGAGTTCATCAATAATGTTAGTCAGTAACGCACTCTTGAGTGGCTTTTCCCCCCATTTCATCTGCTCAGCCAAAGTGGAAGAGAGCATAGAAAAATTGGCCATGCTCCGCTTACCTTGTTTGAGAGCGAGTAAGCGTTGGCCAGCGGCGGCTGTAGTGGACTTTTTGTCAACCACATTTTAAAATTTATCAAGGAAGTCAGAAAAGGACATTTCAGGGGTAGCGTGAAGCACTGCTTGCACCCAGGTCAGTGTGCGATACTGGAGTAACTGGTCAATATAAGCAATTTTAGCACCATCACTAGAAAAAACTTGCGGCTGCTGACAAAACTGGAGGAAACATTGAGTGAGCAAACCAGTGCATTTACTAAGTTCTCCAGAAAAAGCTTTAGGTGTAGGGAGAAATCTGTCTAATAGAACAGGTGTAGGAGCTGGTGGTGTGGCACTTACAACTGGTGCTGGCGTCTCCTGTGGGGGGGTGCGGCGGCGGGTGGATTCACCGCCAGAGGTGTTTGCTGAGCCACAGCCTGCGTGAGGTTTGCAAGCTCACCTCGAATGTGGATAAACATTTGCTCCTGACGCTCCAGCATCGCTGCCAGTGTGGCAAGAGTGGGGGTCGAGGTCGCTGAATCTGCTGAGTCCATTTTTGTGGCTGGATGATTCTGTCACAAACTGTTGCAGGGACTCGCTGAGCGCAGAGCGGGTTGTCAGTTCCAAACACAGAGTTTATTTACAAACACCAAGTGCAGAATATATACAGTGGGGGAAATCCAGGGTTCTGAGGGTCCAAGGGAAAGGTCCAGGGGAAAACTCTCTTGCACTCGTTCTCTTCTCCTATACTCCAACACACACACGTCCACACAGCGGGGAGGTCACGGGTCCGGGGGGGAGAACTATCGCACAGGAAAGGCAGGTTAGACAAAGTCACGAATCTTACACAAGCTAACATTCACAAGAGCTAGAGAGGATCACTAACGTGTCTCACACAATCATCCAGCGACGAGAAGCCTGTGTCCCAGCCTTAAATGGTAGAGACATAATGGCAACATAACAGTGACAGGACCGGGAGACCGCAGTGAGCTCCGCCCAGGCAGAGCGGCAAAGGAGAGAGAGAGAGCACTTTACTGTATAAAGAGCTAACATCTCCAAAATGTCAGGAGTAGTCAGTTAGTCATTACAACAAGTGTTTGTGAACTAAAAATCAAGAATGTGGGATACTGTTTGTCCGTGATTTGAAGAGCCCAGCGGTGCTCCCGAC